GCTGATATAACATAACCTTCTTAATTCAGTACGTGTTAGCTATGTTTGCAGTCTGTTTACTTGTGAAACAGGCTACGTTCAGCTGTCTCTATGGTGACCATTCACATGAATTACTCCAGTATTCTTTGAGGAAGCTAACCTTACTGATGGCTGTAACTACCGTCCTCAGGTGGTGGTACAGAGAAATATCCAGTCAGGTGTTTGATCAGCTTGGTGATGCTGCCAGTCACACAGAAATCATCCAAACACTGATTGTTGACTGACAGGACATTCCTGTTGCCAGCTTACTTTTCATTTTGAGATCAAGTCGACTCTCCTTTATTTAGCACTGACGACGATGGATTGCCTTTCTAAAACAAGTCTTTATTAATTGATTCTGTACAAACAAACTGCAGTCAGTTGCCTGGAACATAGGGAATCAAACTTAAATCTTGTAGCATGCTTTGGAAATTACGTGGTAAATTGTAAATTAAATGCATTTTATAGTTACTGTAATCAGAGAAAACCAGAAACATGAACCTTTAATCTAGAAGCATTGTTAGATTTGTTTTCTTCTTGTTTTTCTGAACAGAACACCATTTATGAAGGAGAGTACCATGACAGGCATCCAAACATCATTACCTTCTGGGAGGTGTTTGATAAACTGACAGCAGAAGAAAAGAAAAAATTCCTTTGTAAGTATTTTACCTAATTGCGTTTGTTCTTATTCATCATGTTTTATTAGACAGTAGAGCGATGTTTTGTCAGCTTCAGGATTTAATAAAGAGCTAAGGAAAAAACATTTTTTTTTTGTTTCCCCTGTTGGTATCCTACAGTTTTCTTTAGAAGCTTCCATTAACTTTACCAGCTCCTTCAATATTATCGTTGCCATGTATTTGTCGCCAGTGTTCCTCACAGGCTGTGACCGTGTGCCCTTCTTGGGGATGGAGAACATCAGGATGAGAGTCACCATCTTGCCCGATGCCACTGAACTCCATTTACCAGAAGCCCTCACCTGTCATTGCCTGTTGCTACTGCCCATCTACCACAGATATCCGGTGGAGAGGACGATGCACACCAGGCTTCTCCAGGCTATTCATGACAACAGAGGCTTCAGGAAGGACACAAGCACTGCAGGCTGAAATAATTAAGGGTTCTTTAAAAAAAAAAAATCCCACCTCTTTTCAGTTAGTTTTGAACATTTTTGTCCTTAAAATCTTTTCTTCTAAATATAGTCACTGCTATTGTAATGTTGCAAAGTTGGTTGGGATCCATAGTAATATTCACATCCACAGTATGACACTTAACATAGTACTGCCTGTATTTGTTTTATTTCATTGGTTGACAGTGTCTTTCACAGCTGTTTGTTGTGCAGTCTAGAGTTGTTTAACTATAACAAAGACTTGTTCCACATATTTAAGCTTTAGTGAGCCACAAGCAAAAATATGCGCAAAAAAAAAGTCCAATAAGTTTGAGACACACCACATAGCGCATACAGATCATTCTATAACCAGATTGAGTGAGCGGATAGTGGACCACAATACTCAAGCGTTTCTCCATTTTAGTAAATACTAAGTTAAAACATCTACAGTCCAGGAAACTTATTTTACTCACTTGTACCTTAACTCACCAATAAACAATTTCTTTTCAGTACTGTCTTGTAGTTTATCAAGTTGAATTTAATAAAAAAAGCCAGAGCCAGTCAGCAGGAGAGCCAGGAAGGGGGCTGGCAGGTGCCCCAGGGCCAAGAACCAGGGGCCTGCAGTGGGGCCAGGTGGAGGTAACCAGGGCTGGAGAGCCAGGGAGTGTGGCTCAGTATAGGCCCCAAGTTCTTGATACAGGCACCAGCCAGCTCCCTCCCTTCCTGTCCTGCCTTAGCTACCTTCCCCAGGGCCCCTGTTCACCTGCCAACTCCTTCTCTGGCTCTCCTGCCCTGGTTACCTTCCCCTGGCCATGCTGTAGATCCCTGGATCTTGGCCCTGGGTTGTTCATACTGTAGTCATCCTGACAGGTGAGACAAATGGCTCTTAGGGTTCTGAATGCAAAAAGAAGTTACACCTTTAGAGTAGGACTCAAGTATGCATATCCTGAAGGAAAGATACACAGAAAAACAAGGAGCTAGCCAAGGCAGGGGGCTGGCTGGTTCTTTGTAATTTACAGCTTTCTTTGGTCAGACAGCAGTCTATGCAGAATTAGTCATTCTTAATCAAATGCTGCGACTTACACAAATGTGCACTTGTCAAGACCTTTGAAAAGAAAGAATGAATTCAAGTGAATGCAACGTCTACCCTGTTTTAGACAGCATACTTATAGTGACAGATAATCTACAGGCACAAAAAAGCATTTGACATTTAACTATCTGACGGAGACTTCGTGGAAAAGGCCGCCTCCTCTCTCCACCTTTTTCATCTATCAAAATGAAAAGCAGTAAAATAACTTACTGGTTTTTAAAAGGATATCAAAATCAGCTCACCATGAGATCCATGTTTTACACAGTTGATAATTATATTCACAACTTGTCAGGCAGCCAAAGTCATACATGTATCAAAGCACATACAAAAAAGATTAAACAGATAAAATGGAGGTGCTACTACACCTACAGTCCAGTAAGACAGTCCTTGCTTCCAGGTCCAACAGTGACAGACCAGCGTGTGACCTTTCACAGCCATGAAACAAACAGAGCGGAGCCAGTCGACCACTGTTAAACCTGGATTTGAGTTCTTCCTTTACATTAAATGGACGGTTGGTGTGAGGTTAGTTTGCTTTCTTTCAGCTGGCTCAAACATTTATGAGAAATCAGAGAAGAGCAACTTCTGCAATAATACTTTCTATACATAAATATCACTAAAAAACAATTAAATTACACAGTATAGAAAAACAAAGCTTTTTGCTCTTGCTACAATTCTTTGAAGACAAAAAAATGAAAATGGGGCTGTGCTGTGAGAAAAAACTAAATCCTCGCATGTTCTTTTTATCGTCTTCGTTTTGCTCTATGCGTACATGGAGTAAGCCTCATGAATGTGCAGTTTTGTTTGTCTGGAAAGTAATGGGATATAAATACAACTGTTTTCATCCAAGTCCAGCTTCTCTGTGTCGAATGTTTTCTAAGGGGGGGTGAGATGGCGTTTAGTTTATCTACATGAGTGAGTGAATGAATGTGAGAGAGTGTGTGTGTCAGGTTTTATCTGATGAGGTGGTAGGTGAGCCAGTACATGAAGATGGGCTGTGCCGCTGCTATAGACATGGTGAGGTACATCCTTAGCTGGTTTCTGGCTCCTCTTACCAGTCGCCCCTCAGCCGCCACTTCCGATAACAGCTTCAGACGCAGAGTGCGGATCTGAGGAGAAATTACAGCCAGTCAACAAACATGCATATGCAGTAAGTGAGCTGAATCAACCCCCTAATCACACGACTTGTACAGAGTTACAGTAACAACTTCTTTGAAACCCAATATGGATCTGTGGCAGAGCTGAAGAGCAGGGCTCACAGAAACTCTAGATACACATGAAACAGACACATTACAAAACTGAAGATGAAGGTTGTTTGTGAGCTTGACATCAGTTCTACATTTGTTACATACTATATGTGAAGAGGAAAACTAATTTACCTGTCTGCATGTCATTTTACATGTGTCAAAAGAGAACAGTGCAGCAGGAAGGTGAGTGGAGGTCTGGGCGACATACTGTTCATAGTGTACAAAGCATCCAACATAAGTCAGTTCAGTAGACATTTGTCTAGAGTCTGGCAGCATTTCTGCATGGTGAAACTGGACAGATGTAAGCTATCAAGACCATTTAAAGTTTAAATGACCAACTTTAAAGTTGTATTCTGATACAATTACAAATTACCTGTTAAAAGCATAACTGTCCAGGTATCACAATATTAAACTAACAACTTTATTACTTTGTTACTTTGGATTGTCTCAATACCAAATATGCAAATAAAGACACAAGCTTTGAATTAAGTGTATTCTGTTAGACAGCAAACCAATGTCCTCTAACATCCTCTGCTCAGGGTATGGAGCTTTTCATTAAGCAAATTCAGGTAGTAGCCTATAGACCTACAATGAAAGTGACCACATACAGTATGACCTCATAGTACAGTTTACAGAGCAAAAATCCAATCTGCCTCGTTTACAAGATAAAGTTAAAATGCTTTGTGTTAGTCTAACATATACAGTAGGAGCACTTGTGCAGTTTTCTTTAACAAATCCACCTACTGAATTAAAAAAATGAAAGATAATAAAAAGTAAAGCAAACGTACCAGGGCTCCAGACTGTGAGTGGTCAGCCACAATTTATTTAAAGTGCGACTGAGTAATTTCAACGGTCATACTGGATGCGACTGCAAAACCAAACCAGAAACAACTGCTCTCACTTTAGAAATGGCAGACAGATGTAACAATCTCCGCACCACTGTCACTGCAACATCTATCTGCTGGTCTGTCACTCGCTCGTCTCACGAAGCAGACTATTCCAATCTGTGTGCCAATCCACACTAGTAACTTCACTAGGAGAGTGAGAAAGCTAAACTGTGCAAGAAGTCAACCATGGACATTGCCAAAAAGCAGAAATCCAGTGTCATCATTATCATCATGTTGACCCGAGGCTGTAGAGCACTACATAAAATGAGCTGGAAACTTGTTGTAGAAGTCATTTTCCCATAAGTCTCTAAATTCAGGCTATACACATTGGATGGATGATAATTACACGCATTTAATTTATATGTACTTTGTTAAGTATGCGACTCACACCCCCCTCAAACACCTCCCTCGGGGGTTATGCTCAGATTAAAGTTGTATTGGGGTTAGTGGCAAAAAATCTCAGGTTTTGACACAAGAGGTGCCAGGTGAGCTACGGTTACACTCGAGACCAGAGCGGTGCTGTGAGATTTGTGGAGGACTTAACGTTTGAGCATGTGCACGGTAGTACAGTATACTGTATCTGTTTATGGTACAATGTTAAAACTGTAATCTTGCTAATAATCCCCAGTTTTACTAAATGTATTGGTAATCTTATTACATCTTTTTTCCTCTGTAACATGAACAGTTACTGTACCTTTTAGACTTTGTAGATGTTTTACTCACCATAAAGACAAATATGGCAGCACAGCACCACAGTAGAGAGAGATAATATGCTGGCCTCCCAAACAACAGGCCTGCTACTACACCTACAATCATCCTGAAGAAACACACAGAGGAGAGACAGACATTAACAGCTCAGCCATGGCATCCTGAGAGTCTTAGTGTTGTTAAAATGAAAATTAAAATAAGGTGAAAATGCAAACACTGGTATAGGTACAGACCCGACATATTTGTAGCCAGAAAAGGCGAGCAGGTCTATGGTCGTGAGGTCCGTGTTTAGAGTCACGAGGTAGAGTGACAGCAGGACAGCCAGGACTTCCATGATCAACCACACAAACGCTGAGCTGGCCTGAACTCCCAGCAGCTCTGGGGAAAACCTGGGGAGTGCACAAAAGGATACAATCTCTGAGTCTGAGTTGGAAATCTGCTGCATAGATCCTAACAATGACAGTTTCAGGGTTGCTGCACACTTTTTAAAATTAAATTTAAGACTTTTATCAAACCTAAACAGAAATAAAAATACCATTTCCATAGCAGAACAAACGCACATTAACACAGGTGTAGCATGTGTAACCATGTTTCATTCCAATAAAATGATCAAATATCAAACACAGATATGATCATGTAGCCCATGTATGCAATAATATGTCTTATATATGCTTTAAAACAAAAGCCTATTTAAATAATCATTGGTGTGACTGACCATAGAGTCTGTGCGTGTGACAATACAGTCACTTATTTTGGAGAGAACAGCGTGTACAGTTGTGGTAACTTGCAGGTCAACAGACAAGCATAATCACAAACAGATTTTTATGAGCAATAAGGCTGCATACATTCAGCTGCCAATTTAGTAGGTCCACCTAACAAAAACTAATACAGTGTAATGCAACAGCTCTACAGAAAATCCTCCCTCAGGATCATTATAATATTCAGTTTTTGTTTAAACCTTTCTAGAGAGGTGTTAATTAAATGTTGTGATCACTTTTGAGGCTGTGATTCGTTTCTCAGGATTCCACGATGCTATAAACAGTGCAAGTATAACAGTGCAATTCAACATGAGCGGAAACCACAGCCCCCACCTCTCAAACTGTTGTAACGAAAGACTGAACATTATAACATTCATAACAGTGGGATTTAATGCAGGACTGGTATCAGACTTCCTTATTTTTATATTAGTGTCACTGTATAGTCTTTGAGCCAGCAGGAGGTGATGATGTAGTGGCAGCAGACGTGCAAATCTACATTGGCGCCGTACTTTTTCGAGGACCACTGTAGCGTTTGTGTCTTTCCGATTTCATATGTAGCTGCCTTAATTCCCATTGTCCCAACTTTAATAACTGTTCAGCTCAATTTGGAATTTCCCCTCAAATCATGACTTGCGACAGCTAACCTTTCCTGGTAGCCTACTTTTCATCTTGGAGCAAAATTTCTTTACTTGCATCTCCCCCATCTTGCTAGCTTCTTCATCTCTTTCCCATCAACAGAAAATATGGAAGAGACTGGACATACAAGTCATGTGAAAGCAAGATGCAGCATGCAAATCCACAAAAATTTGTAATACAAAATTATAATGCTAATTACATATGGTAATATAGACAGATTTGATAAGGTAGGATGTCTCAGTGTCTAAGTGTCGTCTCTAAATTTAAGACATGTCATAATTAAGACTAAGTCATTATATGACCTTAAAAGTTTTTTTTAAATAAAACTGAATATTTTTTAAGGCTTTTTAAGGATCTGTAGGAAGCCTGCTGTTTAGAGAACATATCAAACATTAATAAAGCATTTGATTGGCATGTCTTTTCCACATCTGTATCACCTTGATAAAAACCCATACCTGTTCTGTGTGCCAAGGGCCAGTCCTGCCACCAGGATGTATGTGATGAAGCCCATGGCAGGAATGTAAAGATCAGGAGCATTCACATCAAAGCGTGGGGCCACAGGAATGTCCTGCTGGTAGCTCACCTCCCAGTTCTACACATACAGTATGATAACACGGTTTAAACCTGCTGACTCTATGGAAAAAAAATTATCTCAAAAACCCATTGAAACATTATAACTGTCATTATTATTTATGTGTAAATATTCAAGAGGAATAGGGGCACATCTATGGACTAAAGAAATAATATACACTATACTGAAATGTGAACTACAAGAGCATCAGGCAGAAGCAGAAGCAAACATTTTGATGTGCACAGAATTACCTCATGCATGTAAGGGAAAACTAGAAGGCCCAGCTTCTTTCCCACATACAGTGTATCCACAGCAAAGTAGTATTTCAGTTTAGAAATCGGGATGAACCTGTCCAGCTGAAACGAGCAAGCACACAGGCACAGTCATTATTCTTTGGATACTGTGTGATATATAATACAGGCAATATTTAATGTGGCCTTTCTAGCCTGCTTTAGCTGTGACCTGAAATGTTACTGGGCTTTGAATCTTACATTCTTGTCCACCATTTCCTTCCCCTGGGATGCCAGTGAGCTGCCATATGCCACGGCCAGGTTAGACATAGGGTCTGACAGAAGGGACTGGCCAGGAAATCCTGCTGCTTGAGGCCCAGCCTGCTGGTTCCTGCCAACATAACAAAAGAAAATCAGCTAAACTAATGAGAACATATGATCAACTCTATTGTGAGCAGATAATGCAAAAGACTGCAAAGCTGAATTAACAGAAAATACATTAGGATGTTATTTTTCCTCTCACTGAAGAACCTAAATGTAATTTTAATTACATGATTTGACTGACTAACAAAGGCAGCCTGATGTTCCCTTGATCTAATACAGGTCTACAATCACAGTGTGTTCCTCAAAAAAAAAAAAAAAGCTGACTTTATTCAGCAGCAGGCTCAAGTGTTTCTGGAAGTATGCTTTACACTGAGCTGTTGTTGTAAAATGACATTTTTGTACCGCTTAAATCCTACCTGGCTGGCAGGGCACCCACCTGTAGCCTGTCTGTGATGTAGCCCCGGCCCTACTTGTATCGTCAAACAGCTGGCTGTCATCTGAGCTGTCCATGAAGCTATTCCTTAGACGCATATTAGGCTCTGGATGACATGAGAGAGTGGTTACCTAATGTGTCCAGAGTGGTGAACATCTGTAGCAGACAGATATTTTCCCATTTTTCTGAAAGGACTAATGATTTTAGCATCACGTTCCCTCAAAGTACACATTTACAAAGTTTGTACACAAAATAACAATTCTTGTTTTAGCTCTTCAATGCCATTTTCCTGAAAGAGTATTTACATTATCATACACTTGTAGTAAGAGCAGATTACATCATCAGTTTTAAGTTGGATCTAATCTCCCTGTCAGAAAGCAGTGGCGCCCCCGAGGGGCAGGCACATAGAATTTTGGGCAACCCAAAGTCTTCAGTTAAGGTTATGCTTCAAAAAAAAAAGGAAGATACTTGTACATAATATAAACTAGATGGAACTTTTATCAGCTAATAATATTGATGTTTACGCAACCCACACATAACCTTGGGTTCTAGGAGTATAGGCGAAGCAAAGGCTAAACAGTGATTGGCTGCATAGAGGTCAGTGCAACCAGGATCAAAGTTCAACAAACTTGAAATTTCAATGCATGCACTTTGCTCCATACCACTGAAGTCCACACAGAACCTGTGTGGTGCAACACACACCCACACACACACAAAATGGTGAGGCATGCGCAAAAGCTGTTTTTCCAATCTGAATATACCTTAATACATCCATGGCGCCACTGTGTGCAGTGAAATGGGCTGTCATGCCTCTAAATTTGACTGGTACAGAATCGGATATCTCAGCACGAATGTCTGGCCACCATTTGAGGCCAATCATGTTGAAAACCAGCTGATCTCCCCCAGTCAACTGGTGCATCTATAAAGTATTATATTTAGTTTTCTATTAAAGATACTGTACTCAAGATGCCCCAAATCTGACACAATTTGTCAACATTATTCTAGTGATTTCTACCTTATCCTATAATACATAGGATACATGTACATAGTGTGCCTCCGCTATGGTGCTCACCAGCGGGGCTGATTGTGGGAAAAGTGAGATTTTAAGGCATAAAATACTCAGGTGTAAGCTTGAATTCTTTGTAAAGCGTGCTCTGGAGACGTTTATATTTTTGTGATGCGCAGATTTAATGTTGACAAATTGTGTCAGATTTGGGGATTCTTTAGTATCTTTAATAGAAAACTAAATATAGTACATCTTTAGTAGGTTTAAAGATGTTAAGGGGTTTATGCGTGTGAACACAGCATATTGCTGGCTCAGCAGAGGATGCACTTCCTGCACCAGGAGCTGCTGATACAGTTCTACAGAGGAATCATTGAGTCTGCTCTCTGCTCCTCCATCACTGTCTGGTTTGGCTCATCAACCAAACAGGAGAGGAACAGACTCCAGCAGACAGTCAGGACTGCAGAAAAGATCATTGGTGCCACCCTGCCCTCCATGGAGGACCTGTACACCTAGTGAGTCAAAAGGAGGACAGAGAAGATGTCTGCAGACCCCTTACACCCTGGACACAATCTGTTTGAACTCCTCCCTCTGGACGGCGTTACAGGTCACTGTAAGCCAGGATAACCAGGAACAAGGACAGTTTCTTCCCCCGGGCTGTCACTCTGATTAACACTTAACCCAAGAAGGTATGACTGATCAATAACCCACATTGCACATTACTTTCTTTCCTTTCTGTCCTCTCAGCCTTATATTGTTTACTTGCCCATTGCTGCCTTACATAAGGACATGTACATGTACATTGACAGCCGCTGTACCAGAGACAAATTCCTTGTGTGTCCAACACACCTGGCCAATAAAGCGGATTCTGACTGGGTACTTAGTTTAGACTCTGTTATAATATTAAATCAAATTTATTGACTAAAGCCTCATTACTAACTCTTCAACTCATGAAAGACGGGTGGTTATCTATCGGTGTCAATAACATATAGTATCTGGTGAAGCTTGGGAACAAGAGCGATAACGTTAGTTAATATAAATATCATTAAACTAAAAGCACAAACACGTAGCTTAATAAAGATTCAAAACCAGCACAGTCATTCCACACAAACCTTAACAGAGACTAGACATGAGTAATATATATATATATAGAGAGAGAGATATATATATAAACGGCGATACATAGGAGGGACTTAACGTTACTGTTAGCTTGCCTAGTCTGTGTAACGCTAGGTAAATTAGCTAACGCTGACCAGTTAGTTAGCACTACCAACTTAGCTTGTGTTGTGGTAAAGCTACAAACTATGATTTAATTAGCCAATACTGTCTTCCGCGTTTTTTGTTGACAGTCAGTCGTTTGCCTCAGCCAGCTGAAATCAACAAGCTAACATTATTCAGCTCCGTTTAGGTTGTATGGCACAAGATAGCAAGTGCAAAATGTGCATATGCAGTTGTAATATCACGCACGTAACTTACGCTGTCTGAACCCACTTTGGGTTGCACTATAATCCATTTAGACGAACTTGATGGTAGCAGCAGCGGCGAAATAACAACTCTCCTAACATGCAGGTAGCCTCAAGTTAACAAGCGACACACGGAAGATGAAATCATTCATAAACCTTACACGGAAGATTAAATAAAAAAATAAAAAAACAGCGCTTCTTCTTCTTCTTCTTCTTCTTTGGTTTTTAATGACATGTACCAATGTGAAAGGTGAATACCGCCACCTACTGTATTCGAAGCGCACTCATGTCCAGCCTGTCGCGACGATCTTGTTTAGGTTCTTCACACATCCTTTGTCCTTTATCCACAGCAACCTCACGTTCTTCCTACTTCTGCCATATTTGACCTACATTTATCTCTTTTTACCGTATACCTTGTACATCCTATCAACACATGCTCGATATTCTTTACCACAAAACACATTTATCTGACACTTTTGGCTGTGATGGGATGTAATGGGAAAAGCAAAGGGCGGAGCTGTTGGCGCTGCAGTGATGTTTTTCTGCAGGCACCATTTGTGTTTCCTTTGGCTCAATACATACCTGGTCCCTCAGCTCGAGTACAACTCGTATGACTGTCTGATGCTACATTCACTTATCCAAATACCCAAATATCTATGAAGGCACATTTTAATTTATATGACTGTGGGTGTGTGAGTGTGAAACGTGAAGTTCTTAGGAAACCTGGAAAAGGTCATCACTGTGAATTCTGTTCTTTGTTTGTCTGTCAGGTTCTGAAGCCCCCAGCAAAAGATTCAACCAGCTATGAGAACAAGCTGTTCCATTTGGGGAGTTTCACCCCCACCCTCTCCTCTCACCCACCTCAACCTACAGCTCTGACACCTTCGCCTTCCCTCATTCATTCTCGTCTCTCTTTCCTCCACTCTTCCTTTCCCTCAGTATGATTCGGTTGACTCTTGCTGCAGTATTTGCTTTTCATCACATGGCTCAATAACTTGTATAATATGGAAATTATTTGCAGCTACTTCTACATTTTTATTTAGTTTGCCTCAGTGTATTGATACATTTTAAATTTTGAATTTTAAAGTTTAAAGTAGATAAAGGCACTAACTGATCATTTAAAACCAGGGGTTTAAAATAATGTTATAAAGTAAGACAAACTGTTGTAAATAGTCTAAATGTTCATAAGTAAAGGTGCAGCTCACCAGCCCCCATGCATTTTCTTTATGTAACCAATGTAGAATCCACTCAGTAGGAAATAGTTTAGTTTTAACCTTAATTAACTTAATCCTATTTTTTTTTCTGGTCAGACTTGGTTCACAGAAGAGAAAAGAATTGTTCCTACAGTATTTTTCTATCTCTTGGTTTTCACCTTTTCCTGCCCCGTGCTGTGTTTCGCTTAATCTTTTTTCTCTCTCCTTCATTTTCTGCATTTATCCTTCTATGCCAGATGTTTCAGAAAGAAGAGGAACAGCTGGCTGCTGTGGGGCTGTTTATGCTCCCCTTTCTTTCTTTCTTCTGTCCTCCCCTTCTTTTCTTTCACCTTCGTTTTTCTTTTAAGTCACAGATGTAGACCCAAATTTCCAACCCTGAAAATGAAAATGTATATTTGGGGTATTTAAAATTCAAATGGAAAGTGAAAATATAATCATCTTCTTCTTGCTAAAGTTACTGCATATCTAAGAAAGTGTGGCCAAAGGACCCCAGATCAAGGGCTACACAAATAGTTTGCGACCCAAATGGCTCCTAGATAATGAGTGAGTTCTGGCCTCCTTTACTCTGAGTTCTTGGCTAATTATGGGAGAGGTTGTTTTTTAACCCCAAATCCCCTTATTCTGTTCAAATTCCTCTCATCTGAAGTAACGCCTCCCTCCAGTGTGTCACTGTGTGCGTGCACTTCCAGCAACTGATGAAAATGTGCATATGTGTGAGCATTCACTTATGCTTTGAGTACGCATGTGCATGCATGTAATCACCAAAAGCAGTTTGTGACTTTTTTTCAACTTAGAAGAACATCATGTGACTTTACAAACCATCAGTTGCTTGGACACACACACTTACAGGACATATTGATGTGATCATACACTCATACAGAAGGTTTATGTACATACATGGGCAACCACTCCCTCTAAACCCCCACAGGACACAGTCACAGATGGTCACAGGAAGCAGATGCATATGCCCAGATATTACAGAGAAAAATTATGTTGTGCACTTAATGCATCATGCAGCAACAATTGACATGTTTGTGTTTAAACTGTTAACTCTCATGTTTACCAGCACATGATGTCGTGGATTACACAAGGTTTCATCTAACCTTCAGTGGTGGTCTTTATTTATATTTACTTATTAAGAATTCCTTAAATATTTCCTTTATTTATAAAGGAAATGTTTTACCACACTGAAACAAGAATTGTGTGTTTATTCAACAAGAATATTTGTGCATGTTTAAAGTAGCAATGCATGGCACTGAAAACTCAAAAAATGTATTGCATTATGTTGCCTTGATAATTTGCCTTTTCTCAGGATTTTTTACAGTGTAATGGCCTCACAGTTCTCTTTCTCTGTTTTTTCTTCGACTTCCCGTCTTCATTCCTATGATATATTGTTTTTTATTTTGAGGGTAAAAACTAATAAGACAACATTAATTCATATAAAGTTTCTAGTAAAGAATAAAACTTTCTTCTACTTTTTGTTTTCCTCATTATGGATAAACTGCCTTGAGAATAATGTTATTTCAATTAGTCCTTCACTTCAGCATTTTACACCTGGCTGGATAAATATAATACAATCATTTCTGTGCTGTAATTGATCTTTTCAGATGATCAGTTTTAATGATGGGGATAATGATAATGACTTTATGTGGCCAAGTATGATACACACAAGGAATTTGTCTCCGGTACAGAACTGAGGCAGCCATCTGTGGTGCCAACTCACACACACACCGATGGTGGCGTTGTCCCTGCAGGGCACTGACCTGGCCATTGGGGGCAACTTGGGGTTCAGCGTCTTGCCCAAGGACACTTCGTCATGTGAACGGCAGGCACTGCCAATCTTTCAGTTGGGAGACGACTGCTCTACCCCTGAGCCACAGCCGCTTTGTTCTCTATCTACAGTGAAACACCTCTTTTTTGGATATATTTCTAAGTAGGTTGAAAACACTTTATCACATGACCATGGCGCGTTCTGTGTCTCACAACCCACTCACTCGTTTTTACACCTTTACGCTCACTCCCAGAGCAGGAGCTCTAAACCTGTCTCATACACATGCTGTGACGATGTGTACTCATCTCTCAGTAGGAGGGAGCTCTCTCTCTTTCTCTCACATGGCCTCTCACTCTCAGGCTCCTCTGTCTCTCTCTCTCATAGCGTAGAACCACACCGACGGGACCTACCCAACACAGAGCTCTTCCTTCATATACAGCCGCCAGTAGGTACAACTCTCCTTCTCATTCTGAATATCTTTTTGTGCTCCGTATTCCTCTTTGTCTCCCATATATTTTCACCATGCTGTCTGCTATTTTTCTAACCCAATATAAGCCTTGAAAGTATCTCTTTGTTCTGTCTAAGCCTATATTCCCACAAGATAAAGTAGCAGGGAACCTGTGATAATTCAAGTTACTGCCTCTTACTAACTACTTCAGCCTGAATAGTGTAATGAATACAGTTTGGTAAAGTGAATACGACTAATCTAACATTTAAATGCACATCTCATCTGTTAGATTTGGTCAAAACTACCTGCAGTGGATAAACTTTCTCTCCACCTACAGAGAATATATAATACATTAGCTGCAGATAAGGTGCAGTCTTGTACACCACGATATCAGAAGATGTTGTTGTGATGTTTGAAAGTGTCCTAGGACAAACCAGCACCGGGCTTTTCATGCAGGCTAATCTTTTGTTTATTTGGTTGGTGAGTTTGGGGAGTAACATTTGCACAAGTAGATTTTTTTCCTCTCTGACTTTCTTATATAATCACATGAACAATTTATTGATATTGCTTTTTTTTCTGAATGACTGGCGTTTTTGTGTCGTTTGGTTGTGTCTGGCTCTTCTACTAGTCTTGTTTGGGCTAATAAACTGACTGCAGATGTGAGCAAGAGCTCTAGAGTCAAGAGTGACTGAAGATGGAACGTGTAGATAAATGAAGTAAGCAGTCATGAGAAGTTGATTTGGAACAATTTTTGTAATTTTTGTACTATATTCATACATTTTCTAGATTAAATGTTTGTAATGATTAATTAGCAGAATAATAAATGAAAACTAGTCACTGGTTGGAGACCTTGGAAACCTTTCACTAACAGTAGATACAATAAAACTGTGCAGCTGTCTTCAGTTCTTTATAAAAGTGTAACTTTGAATGAACAGAAGGCCAGTTGTCTACACGTCTCAGTGTAGATATTCAGGGCAGTGGGTGCAGTGAGTATTCTTTTAATCCTATCATTCATTTGATGTTGTAAGGTAACTGTCACTCTTACTGAAGAAATAATCAATGGACAAACATGCATCTGTCATGATTTAACTATGTAATTTATTTCCAGTAGATGGTTTTATAATATGAGTCTAGCTTTGTTTTGGTTTTTCTCATACCTCATGCAGCATTAATGCCACCCAGACCTGTCTGATCAGTGGGAGAAACCTATGTGAAAAGCCAGTACACCGGCTGGATGTTACAGAGACAGTATACAGCATTTAAAACATAGATTGTGACTGACAGCTGAAGTTAAAGTGGATACAATGATCCAGCCGATCCCTGGCTACGAGCAACCATTGCTGCAGCTCTGTTGCCATCTGTGTGTGAACACTGGGGCAAAAGCACAAAGAGAAAAGCGTTATCTGCGGGATGTGCAATCTCACAGTTTGCTGTACTACTGATGAAGCTGCTCCATCCTCTGCAGAACAGAAGTTTTGCAGTTTACAAAATCACCGTGGTGACAGTGTCCTGCACAGTAAATTTAGAGTGAATTGTCTGCCTAATTTTTATCTTCATTACACTCAGTTATACAGTAGACGTCCTGTCCAAACCTCATAACCACAAGCCCACAGAAAAGCCAGAATTAAATTTACAGTTTGTGACAAATATTACCAGAGTATATCATAAACAATCTGCCAAACTACCACAAATATAAATGGGAGGGGATGTGAGGTTTGTAGGAATTACGCAACTTGTCAACCTTCAGTTGACCAAACAGTGCCGCAGCATACAGCAGGT